CTTGCTAATTGACAGCAGGCAGTGGGCAGGTGCAATAGCCAGCCTGATATTGGCTATCTCAAATTGCAATAGCCAATAGCAGACTAGCTATTGCACGCACCCACAGCCTCCGATCCTCTTCGACTGTCCACTCTGACAATTCTCATTATCGATTTTATTGATTATTTGTTGCAGCCCTAGATGAGTCAGAGTCCAGAACTCACCCAGATAAGAAAGTGTTGTTGGACTTGCCAAAATGCTGCTTGCTTACAATCCCCATCCTGCTAAACGTTGAATAGTCTGCAAAAAGGAATGGGGAAAATTGCAGTGTTTGGATGTGCAAATTGAACAGAGATCAATCCGCACAAACTCAAGGCTGTAACTGTGGTCAAAAGGGCATCTACCAACTACTAACTTGAAGCAAACTTCTCAAGTAATTGAGTGGAGGTTTTCATTGAAAAATGTAAACTTGTTCACTCTGTAAATTACTTTAATGGAGAACTATCCTCCCGTGACCCAAAGCTCAGTATACCTCGAGCAACAGCTCACGGTATATGGAGACCGCAGCAGCCGGGACGGATCCAGACATGACTGTCGAGATCCACAGAGCCATGTGATTGACAGCTCCCTCTGCCTATCTAGAGGCAGAGCCAGCTGTACCCGCCCTGTCCCCCGTCCGTTCCGCCAGTCAGCGCTGGGAGGGGATCCCTGCAGGGAGCCGTGAGTGACAGTCACGGCTCTCTGCAGGGACATGATCGAGAAGTGAGCGAGCGACGGTATGTGTTCGCTCACTTCCCGATCTATAGAGGCGATGTGTGACAGTTTCATTGTCACACGTCGTCTCGAACTATGGAGTCTGAGTGAGAATCACTCACCTCATAGTTCTCCTTTAATGTTTAATGGTGAGGGTAATATTAGTAATAAACTTTTTACTGTAAACTCACTAAAAAAGGCAAGAGGCCACCGCCTGAAATTGGAGGAAAATGGTTTAAACTCAAAAGGGCGAAGGGGATTCTTTTCTATTAGAGTGGTAAAGCTGTGGAACTCCCTTCCACAAGCAGTGGTATCAGCACATAACACACAGGCGTACAGGTACTATTAATGACTGGAACAAACAGGCTCTCAGACGCTCACATAGGTTGACCTGTATCTTTATTCATCCTCAAATACTATTCAAGTGTAAAAAAAAAAGCCTAAATCATCAACTGCACCTGTAGTGGTCTCACTAAGATTTATTTGTGGCCACAAAAAATAAAAAATCAATGCACAAATTGCTATTGCTCCACCTTCTCATATCCTCAGGCTGACCTTACTCCTGGGACTACAGGAGAAATTGGGATGGAGAATAGGAGATCGGGGAACTTCTGTGTACCAATTCTATATAGGCTGAATAAACATGAAAGCCCTCAGCTTTCTGGGTTTCTGGGTTCAGAGCGGTCAGATCTCGGCAGAAGCACTGGTTCAACACTTTGTTGAAACGTGTTGATTTTTTCCAGATGTCAAAAAAAAAGAAAGGTCTAAACATTGTGAACACTAGCCTACAGAGAAAATGATTCACTCTATATATTGTTCCTGGCCTAATGACTGAGGGCAAAACCCACTTGGTCAGGAACTTAACCTCTAAATGCTCCCTACTGATTTCTTGTCTTAAAATGGAGCATATTTCACATGCTACTTAAACTAACCACCAAAAGCCTACAAAACACGTTCTGCTTTCCTCTACATAGGTAGTGACTGGTTATTGGAGACTTCGTGCTCAGGCCAACCGGATGATAGAGGTATATTCTTCACCTATTAGAGTGGCTGTCGACCTATTTCCAGTGCCAGTACCAACAACTGTTTCATGACCTTTCTCAGTCAGATAGATGTGAACTATGGGCAAAATAACAAATTACACACATGATGGAGACTGCCAACAGCATTAACACAGAAGTTTTTGTTTTTCCTCCCATAACATAGTTTTATTACCTGTTGATCCTGCCAGTAGATCCATTAATCTGTCCAGCAAAACTGACAGTTACAGAAGTTGAAACAAACCATACAACACTGCAGGTGTGCCACAACAAATAGCTTTTATGTATATGGTTTAAAAACGTATTTTTATTGGGGGAAAAAAGTTACTGTTTAACACTTTCCCACAGGCCGTACACATAACCGTGGCATGCACAGGTGGGCTTTAAGGCCCCATATATATGTGTACAACTGGTTCCAGCTTTCTGTGCTGAGGTCATGTACACGTGGCCCTCCCAGCACAGTGACTGAGCTCTCACCGACAGCTCCTAGTCAATGTTCACAATCGGAAGCAGGTGGGCTGGGCCTCCAAACATCTGACCAATGTGCAGGTACTCGCAGAGATCACATGACTGGGAAGCCTGCCTGCGACTCCCAGTGTTCAGAACCCCTTAAAGGGCCAGCAGGAGGCAGCACTGGCAAGGGATTAAAAGTGCTGGTGGGAGTTTGGCTTTAATTTGTCTCTTACTTAATGTCCATCTAGATCTACCTGTCCATCTAAGACTGCCCTGCTGTGTTAATGCTATTGAAAGTAATTTTAATTTAGCCCATAGTTGCACTTTAGAGGTACTGAATGGCATTATCAAGAAAAACTGCTACTGGTACCTGGATGTGCAAAATAGGTGAGCATCAACAGGGGAGGCAGACAATCAACCACTGGAGGCCAATAGACTAGGTCTGCTAGGTAGCCTCTATTACTTTTAAATATTAGAACTGGCTGATAAGGTCGTGTCTGTTTAATATAAATATAAAAATATAAACTCATTTTGACAGACTTGTTTCTTCACAAAAGAAACGGTAAATACATGTACATACTGCTGTAGTGAACTGGGAGTTGCAATGTTTGTTTTCCTTTGCTTTATAGGAAATGTACATTGGTATTTGTAATCCTTATGAATTCTTGTATTGGTCCGCATATTATGATGCAACGCTGATGTGACCTTATTGCCCCTTGTTCAAAGGGAAATAAAGGACATTAAATTGTATAACATTAATATGGTTATGTATCAAAGAGCAAATAGTGATGTATAATACAAAGCAATAAAACAATGGCAGTGCATAATCAGCTGGTACCAAAGAAGTTAGGCATCAGCACTAATGTACTGCAAGCTTTTTCCCCCCAAGTTGTACAGAAAACGTTCACTCTTTCTACAGCAAGGGTACATACTTTTGGTGGGTGTTGTGACTGCATGATTCTCTTCCGAATGTGCTGGTGAACTGGGGCTTCTTGAAGCTTCAGAGTATAAGGAGGATGGAGACTGTTCTACTGATATGTGACTTCTTGAAGCTTCAGAGTATAAGGAGGCTGGAGACTGTCCTGATGATACGGGACTTTTGGAAGCTTCAGAGTATAAGGAGTCTGGAGACATCTGAATACTGGAAGAAATATCAGTCTCTTCCTGTCACAGTGAATGGAAATTGTATTTCATTAGAGATGCTAAAATCCAAGGAACACATCATGCATTAGAGGACAGATACATTAAAGTTTAGCAGCACTTTCAGTGCAGTTACATTTATCTGTCTTCAACACCCATTCTTAGCCTCCCTCCAAGTCTTATACTCACCTGTCCCTGCTCAGCTGACATCTCCGTTTGTGTGGCTTGTGGCTTTTTTTTTTTACTTTATCAGGACACGGGGGTATAAAAACTCCTTATAGGACTGCATAGATTTTAGTGTGTGGGAGGAGCTGAACTCAAAAGTAAAGAACTTGGTAGCATAGATAAAGTACAAGACTTGGAAGGACAGAGTAGGAACATAATAGATTAATAAGTGTAAATGCACTTGAAACTGTGGGCACCATACCCCAGGATTCCTTTTTATGGGTAGAACTATAAAAAGTGCTACTTGAGTTCATTTAATTTTTGTTTTGGATTGACTCCAAGATAAAACCTTGGCTTAGCGTCTGGAGGTTCAGGTGACTAATATTTGTACCAGATAAATCAATACATTTTTATATTGGCTTTTTTTTTTTTCGAAGCCCGTGGACGTGCATCAAAACAAACTTCCCCTTGTGAACAAAAAAAGTGAACCGTGAAATCACAGCACACAAAAACGTGCACAAGGGTGCAAGGTCCTTCAAAAGAAGGGACCTACTTTCCCGACCCCCCGGGGCGCAAGGCTCCTGACAGGGGTTGAGACTGTCAGACCACCAACCCGAAGGCCGGTGGACCGTTTCCGTCGGGGACCTGCCGAAACAGGTCCCTCACAGTACTAGGCAGGGGGGATCTCCCGAAGAGAAACCCCCCTCCTGGGTGGGAGGAGACAGAGAACCCCGTAGGAGGCACAGAATCTCCTCCCAGCGTCAGGAATAGGCCCCGAAGAAACCTGCACCTTCAGCATCTGTGGGTCAAACCATGCTTTTCAAAAAAAGCCAATCGTGCATCGTGCATTAAGTGCATAAATAATACTAAAGTGCCAGTGCACCACGCTGACAGGCCTTAGGGGCCGAGTGCAAAAAAATTGCCCCGGACTAGCCATAAGGCCTGTCCAAGAGGCGTTGTGCAGAAATAAGCAATGTGGTGTGTGACCGAGTGATCAGTGAGTCAAAGTGGGGTCCCACACCCAAGTGACTTCCTGAGCACCCCTGGGACGCCACCCCCAGGGGGCACAACACCACGGGCTTCTGCCGCCCCCGAACTCTCTAGCCTTGATCCAAGTTTCGGATCCATTCCCATCAGGAGATAGTTCACCTTCAGAGATCCCTCCCCTGGAGCCCACCCATTAACTAGGGTCGAAAACTCCGGGGCCTGGAACCTCATCCGGCTCCCTACCAATTACGCCAGGAACCTACCGGTCCGTACATCCACCCTTCATAGGCGACAGCGGACTTTCAGTTCCCGACAACTGATAAGAACAGATACTACACTTGATCTTAGCCAAAAGGCCGAGAAGCGATTTATATATTGGCTTTTATCTTAGCTTATCTCTACAATGATTGCACTAAAAAGAAAGGTTGTTTTTGAATTGTGAAGTAACTGATGTTATAATATAATAAATACCATTTGTTTTTAGAAGGCAATGCTGTGCATCACAGTATTCTAGTGGAGGGCTTTTGGCTCCTTTGGACTGCCACACACATTAACATGGATTGGTTATCTTGTCTCATTTATAGTCCATAACAGATTATTTACATAGTAAGCAGCTGAAGTGAGACTGAATATATGAACAGGGATAATAACATTATGACAAATTCCTTACCGGCACAAACTGCGATGACGAGGGTGGTGAATCCACTGAACAGCTGGAAGACGCATAAGACAAGGGATCTGGTTTATTCCAATCTCCTGTAAAGAAATTACATATATTAGGCTCATCACAAGCCTGTTCTTGTGGATCTCAATTCACAAAGATGATAGCACACTTTATTTAGTCACTGAGGAACATAGGAAGGTAGAAGATTCTTAGACATTTGGGATGTCCAAAAGCTATCTTAGGGGTGACCAATAGTCACAGAGAGATCCCACAGATGTATCTAAATGAAGGCCAGATAAAGCAGATCCACAAGGAATGTTTACAAGGGTAAAAACCTAAGCCTAGAAAAGCCAACCTTTAACTTCAGGGAAAGAAAAATTGTATAGACAAGGTATATCCAGAAAAAAGACCAACCAAACAGCTAAAGTCTACCCCTTAAATCCTTTACTGCAAGGAGAAGGGAGGTGCATAATAAGCAGGCTGTTAACTGATCAACAACTAATCTCAAAATGTTTACTTTCCACTTCCTCCTTTCTTCAGAATATAAAGCAGATCTTACGTGAGATTGTCGTATCCGCCTGCCCAACAGATTCCTGGAATATCGTCACATATCCCAGGAGGCTGCAGACCTCCAGACAGTCGCATACAGAATACAAGAGGATAATGCTGGACCTGCTGGGCTGGTAAGTATATTTATTCAGCATTTTGGCATTTTTTTGGGAAAGGCGAAATTCCTTTTTTAAGAGACATACGTGGGTATGAAAGCCCCCTCAGAGGTTAATTCAAAGGCAAAAGAGACCCTTAATATAGGGAAAAATAGAAGGGTAGTTTCCTTGAAGGAAAAAACCAAAGAGGACAGATGGGGTGAATATATAACAAAATCCAACTGATGTGCAAGGTGCTTCAGGCAGTGATATCCACAAAGTAAACCTGCCTAATTATGAAATATACTAAGAATCATAAAATGTGGCCCTGTAAAGGCACTAGGAGTAAAAACCCTAGTACAAACACTAGGAATATTAGTTTTATAAAATAGCGGAAGGAATAAAAAGGCAACAGATTTTTTTTTTTTTGTAAAGTGACTGTCAAGTGAATTTAAAGTGACTTATGTGCCTTCATGATCCAGCTTGGGCTGGCTAGTAGCTACAAAATTCTAACAGCTAAACTCCAGCCTTACCTTTTTTCCCGCACCTGTAGGAAGTTCTCTACTGTGCAGAAGCTGATTACTCTTAATTCCATGCAAAATTGCATCTCCATAATATAGCCCTTTGAAGCTGCGTCAGCTATCTTGAGCCCACCTTAATTTCCTGTCAAATCTACTTCATTTACTCTCTTCCTGATCCATACTGTTGTTTGGTCTTGCCTCTCACAGCTATTTGCCTGATCTGCCATCAATCGTTGTTTTTCAACATGTTAAAGTGTGATCTTTAGAGCAGGAATAAGTCACTGCACTGCTATTCCCAAGCATTATATAAAATAACACATCCACGCCATCTCTTTAAACGTGCATGCTCCTCCCTAATGGCCACTTGGTGCTGATCAGTCACTTGATTACACTATATTAGAGTGTATATAAGCCAGGATATTGTTAAGCATTGACGTCTCAATATAATAGTTAGGCATTAGCATTTTCAAAAGGAGACGGTAGATAGTAGTAGGCCTACATTTTACTATTATTGATTAGGTCTTATTGACCTTTTTAAGAACTATTATTCAATAACTTTTTATAATATACTGTTATTTTACATATGCAGGTCTCTGCACCCACAATCTCCCTCTGAGCTCCCAAGACTTGTTACTATATAACATTTCGTTAATCGTGTCTATTATAGATCTATTGCTATCGCCTCCATCTAGTGTCCAAATTTGGTATTTCCTGGCGAACAGTAATTTTTTATAAATAAACTATTATTTTGATTTTCACATCTCTTTTTCTTTACTATATTTCACACAAAAACGAAAAAAAATAAATAAGGATTACACTTACTTACACATGCTATAAATATATACTCATAAATAAATCCATAACAAACATATACCAATTGTAATCAATCCTCAGTGACTACCCCAAAAATCTTCTAAAGTTTGACATAGAAATATTAAATATTATTATTCTTTAGTGCAATAAAAAGTTAGTTAACAGTGCAAACACTTTTAGTCCCAATTTATATCCAAAGCATGCAAACATAATGGGGGACTTTTATGAAAGCATTTGCATCTGTTTAGAAGATGGTGCATTAAATAATATTATTTAATGCACCATGTCAAACTTTAGAAGGTCTTTCAGGCAGTCACTGAGGATTGATTACAATTTGTATTTTTTTGTAATTATTTATGAGTATACATTTATAGCGTAGTGTCATTTTTACTTTGTTAATTTCTCTTAATTTGGGTAAAGATAATATTTATTTTTTTGCAGAGCTGTTCACTTTATATAGTGATAAGTGCAGATCGATGTTCATTTATTTACTTGTATTGTATGACAAATACTGTACGACAGGTAACTCCCAAGTTTTTTAACAAATATTAGATTAGCTTAGTTTTAATGTCACATTGCCGTCTTTTTCACCCTGCAGTAGCACCATATATACCATATACCACTATAGCATACCCACTGTAATTCATACTTGAAAGAGAGGTAATAGCCTTGAAATGCATAGCCAAATACCTAAACTGGAAGCATCCTGCACAATTCATCCAAGAAGTTCCTATAGGGCACTGTTTGCCACTCGCTGGAGATCTGGAGCTGACTGTACACCACTGGCTTTAGAAGCCACTTGGATGATCTCTTAATTTGTTTTTAACACTATGAAATATTGCACAAGATCCATGCCTCCCTGATTTGTTCTCTATTGCTGCAGTATATGTATACCCCACATTTTTTGACCTCCTGAAGCAAGTATGTCTTTAACCTTTGAAACTTTTTCCCTCCACCTGTTCCCCCTCTGCGAAGCTGTATTTCCTGTTCATTGTAAACGCTGTCTACACCATGTTTTTAAATTTGCAATAAAAATGTAGTATAGGCAGACCCTGAATTACGAACAAGATAGGGACTGTAGGTTTGTTCTTAAGTTGAATTTGTATGCAAGGTGGAACAGCTACTTTTTTAAGTGCAACTCCAGCCAAAAAAACATTTTTTAGTTTTGGATAGCATAGGTAAGGGTTAAACCCCTGTAACATTTGTTTTGCTGTCCTCACAGTGGCTCTAATCCCACACCCTACTAACCAAAACTAAAAAAAAAAAAAAATTTGCATGGAGTTCTACTTCAAATGCAACTTGGTCAGATGTTTGTACAATTTCCTGTAATGTACAGTACCAGACCCGGAAAAAGAGGCAGGCACTCCTCGTCTGCACGTCTAACAACTACCTGTTGTGTACAGGAGGTACAGTACTACAAATCAGACCCACTCCTCGTCTGCATGTCTAACAACTTCCTGCAATGTACAGGAGGTACAGTGCTACGAACGTCGGCGTAAGCACGGTAGCAACAGTACGGTGGAAAAGCCTGGGACCTCTGTTTGAAAGTACGAGTCATCCGTAACTCGGGGATTGCCTGTATAAAAACTCACACAGTGCATTAAGTATTCAGACCCCCTTTACTTTTTTCAATTTTGTTATGTTGCAGCCCCATACCATTGGGTTCTTAGTCACCTCTTTTACTAAAGCCCTTCTCCCACGATTGCCAAGTTTGGCCTTCCCCAGATCTATGCCTTGCAATAATCTGGTCTCTGAGCTCTTCAGGCAGTTCCTTTGACCTCCTGGCTTTTGCTCTGATACAGTATGCATTGTCAGCTGTGAGGCCTTCTATAGAGTGTGCGCCTTTCCAAATCATATCCAATCAATTTAATTTACCACAGGCGGACTCCAATCAAGGTGTAGAAACATCTCAGCAACGATCAGGAGAAATGGGAGGCACCTGAGCTAAATTTCAAGTGTCTGAATACTTATGCCAAAGTGATATTGTGGTTTTTCCTTTTTCATACATTACTAAAATTCTGTTTTCACTTTGTCATTATGGGGTACTGCGTGTAGGTTAATACACACACACGTGAAACTCGAATAATTAGAATATTGTGCAAAGTTCATTTATTTCACTAATGCAACTTAAAAGGTGAAACTAATATATAGTGCTTTCACTCCGACATTTGCGGCGATATGTAACATGTGCAGCACAATAGGCGCAATCGTCGTTTTCGCACGTAGGCGCACCCGACGCATATCTACGTGTGTATGTGGGGGGGCGGGGGACTTAAAAAAAAAATTTCTTTTTTAATTTTTTTTTATACTTTATTTTTTTATGAGTCTTTCATTTTTATATTACTTTTTTTTTTTTTAACAAGACACAAGCGATCGAGCGTCTATATAGACGCTTGATCGCTTGACTAAAGCTCCCGGCCGGCCGTGTAATTACAGCGGCCGACCTGGAAGCTGCTCGTCGGGCTCCACTGTCTGCTCGTCACAGACGAGCGGATTTTCGAGATGTATGTATAAGCAGCAAGTTAATAAGTAGCACATTCCAATGCAAAATGGCAAGACACTATCATACCCAAAATTGTAAGCAGGCTTGTTTAACAAAACAAAACATTACAGTTCATCACTTTAGATGGCCCTAAAATTCTTCTATTCCTGGGATGTTTTGGGACATCTACATGTGTCCCTTAACAAGTGTTAACAAAAAACCTTAGAAAAAAAATAAAATAAAACTAAGGTAGACACCACATCTAGACACCAAGAACTAATAATCTGCTATGCATTACATTTTTGTTTTTGGGTTTAGATACTTTAAATGTTCTGAGCACTTTAAAGTTTTGTTTTTTTTTACATGTGCTTCCAGCTGAGTCTGTAATATGGTATTACTGTGCATTATTCCAGTAGGGCCAACACTTTCTTTTTTTAATTGTTTTTAGTGCATCAGTAATATAATTATAAAACTTTATAACTATACAACACTCAGGAACATCATTTACTCTACTTCTAAAAATACCTATATCATTTTTTTTGCAATAACATTTATTTTAATGGGTAAATTTGAAGCAACATACCTGTAAAGCATGGCTCATTCAGTGGGTGAGAATTCCAAGGCATTAGGTCTGTAGTAAAGTCCAGATTATCAAAATTGTCTGTCTGTAAAGTATATAAGAAAGACGCATTACTGTCTACATGTATGACAAAACTAGATTACTACCTATATGTTAAGTACTGAAATTCTGTGGTAAAAAAAAAAAGAAAAGATGATTGCACACAGAATTAATCATAAGTTGTACACAGAAGCAAGATGTTTTAATGGTTGTAATACAATCATTGCACCATTCACCGACCCTCCCGACCTCTCCCAGCCTTCCCTGGCTGTTCCACGTGTCCTGCACGCACCTGAGTCTGCTGTGACTCTGTGTTTCCTGCACCCACACAACTCACTCTCCACACTGAGCTGGCTTCTAATAAGGCTGCTCTCAGCCACTTGATCAGCCCAAGCTGGTCATTAAAGATTTTTTAAGTATTAAGCCTGACAATGCCTCCACCTGCGTTCCCAGAAGGATGGCAGCATCTTAGCTCAGCCATCATTAAATGTAAGCACCCATTTCCTATACTGAGATGCTAGCTCAGAGATTATCATGTAAATCATGTTTGGCTGTGTTCACAAATGTCTAATACAGATCAGCCCCCTGCTGCAACCACTTACCTTGTAACCTGTTACTAGTGACGTGCGGGGCTTGGTGCAAACCCAGTTCACTTGAGCTCACCCAAGCCCGCACGAACCTATGACTGACACCCCCCTCTTTCATCCCAATCAGCTGCGGCAGGAGCGGCTTGGGCAAACTATGCTCGCAATAAGACACCACACATCACTGCTTGCTTCAAAGTACTGTGTTATAGTTTGAGTGACCACTGAGAGAAAGGAAACAAATGCTTCCCTTTGCCTGCATCTGACTCATGACATCATCTCAGCCTAGGCACTAGACTGGAACTTAATGACTGCTATATTGTAACAAATCAGGAATGTATTTCCCCAGATTTGTAAATTTACCATTTTCATAAGGCTCCTGGTGACCCTCATAGTGGGAAGGTGGAATAAAAAACCTTTTTAGACAAAGGAATGAAAGTGGGATAATCTATTTCTCACTGTTGGCCAAGGTCTACTTAGTCTTTCAGGCCCTCAGATGACTTTGGTGGGCCAAAATTATATAATTTGGATACTCCATAAACTGAAGTTATCTTTCTGTCAGAGCTAAATAACAGGCACCAGATTAGTCTGACCTAAGCACCATTAGCAAATCCCAAGATTTATGAAAATACATTTGATAGCTTTTCAGCTGGAGCAGTATAATTGTGGAATAACCCATTTACACAAATATAATTTACCAGAACCACTCTAACCTTTAGAGACAGTTTAGAGACAGAGATTGAAGGTCTTCCTAAAATGTTAGAAAAATCAGACTAAATTTAGCTTAAAAAATTAATTAGAAGAAGTAGAATAAGAGGGTTTGTATCATTCAAGATGTAGGCTTTATTCACACCTGGAGATGAGGTGTGTTTTGGAATTCATGCAGGAGGAATCCCAAACATGCCATTTAGAGACGGCTGCAGTCACCTGTCATGTTAATGATCTGGCACCAGCAGCCACAGTTGAAAGCGTCAGTCCATCGGCATTCTGCATGTAATCCTATGCGATAGTGATCTTATTCTGATCGCATGTAACCCTATCAGTATCATAAATTACATTTACAAACAACTATACGACATTAAAATGCCTCGTCCCTTTTTAGATCTGCAGTCTGAAGGCAGGTAGACTTCTCAACTGGCTTGCAGCATTAGCTCCACAATTAATCCACGACAGACCGGTAAAGAATACTTGTATAAAAAGAATTTCATGAAATATTTATAACAGGCCTTAACAAACCAAGGAACCAGGCTGCCAATATGAATTAATAAATGCAACTGAAAACCTTTTACAAACTTTTCTAAATATACAATGAAAACCCATTTTAAATGGCTCCTAAAGACATATTGCTCATGCCTAGTTGGGACTCACTGGCTGCTAAATACTGCATTTATTTATTTCAGTTTAGGATTATATACTTACAAGGACAATGCAATCCCCATCTTGAAACAAATCGTCATCAACATCAACTAAGTTGTTCAATTCATCGAACAGTGACGAACCTTAGGGAGAAAGGGGACAAAAAAAAAAAAGGTCATTCACTGTGATGCTGCTTGGAGATGCACCCTATTCTTTTGTCCAGGTGAACATAAACACACAGGACAGAAAGTGATGGGAAACCAAATGGGACACCCGTTCCAATGACATCTGTCTAATGGGGGAGGGAAATCTCCCCCGATTCTGAGATTTCCTTCCACTTCCTGTTGTGCATCTGTGAGACACAGATAGTAAACAAGAGAAACACGTGACAGGGATTTACCCAATTCTAGACCCAACAAGTTTTTTTTTTTAAATAGCTTTCCATATAATGTTTTAGAAAGTTTATAAACCTTTAATACATGCCAAAAGATTTCCAGACCACCACAGGTAGTCCATAGAAAGATAAGTGTTATCAGAGAATCAGCTGTTATTGAGAAAGAAAAACAAAAACACACATTCCTGGCTTTTGGGCTATACAGTGTGGAAAATAATAATTTGCTCCCCTACAGATTTTGTAAGTTTGCCCACTTACAAAGAAATGAAAGGTCTGTAATTTGTATCATAGGTGTATTCTAAATGATAGAGACAGAACATCAACCAAACATCCAGAAAAAACACATGATACAAATGGAGTTGCAGTTCAGTGAGTAAAATAAGTATTTGATCCCCAAGGAAAACATGACTTAGTACTTGGTGGAGAGACCCTTGTTGGCAAGCACAGAGGTAAGACGTTTCTTGTAGTTGGTTACCAGGTTTGCACACATCTCAGGAGGGATTTTGGACCACCCTTCTTTACAAATCCTCTCTAAATCCTTAAGGTTTCTTGGCTGTCGCTTGGCAACTCGAAGTTTCAGCTCTCTCCATAAATTTTCTGTAGGATTAAAGTCTAATTAAGATTAATGTGCTTCTTCTTGAGCCACTGCTTTGTTGCCTTGGCGGTATGTTTTGGGTCATCGTCATGCTGAAAGACCCATTTTCAGTTTTCTGGCTGAGGGAAGGAGGTTCTCATCCAAGATTTTACAATAAATGGCCCCGTCCATTGGCACCTCAATGTGGCAAAGTCGGCCTGTACCTTTAGCAGAGAAACAGCCCCAAAGCATAATGTTCCCACCTCCGTGCTTGACTGTAGGGATGGTGATCTTCGGGTCATAGTCAGCATTTTCCTTCCTCCAAACACGGCGAGACGAGTTAATGGCAAAAAGCTAAATTTTGGTCTCATCTGACCACAGCACTTTCTCCCAATCATTCGGGCCTGAACATGTGCGTTCTTGAGGAAGGGGACCTCACGGGCCTCCAGGATGCACTGCAGGATCTCAATCCAATGGTTTGTTTGGTGACTGTGGTCCCAACTGCCTTGAGATCATTCACAAGCTCCTCCCGTGTAGTTCTGGGCTGATCCCTCACTTTTTTCATGATCATCCTTACCCCATGAGACCAAATCTTGCATGGAGCTCCAGACCAAGGGCGATCGATGGTTATTTTGTATTCCTTCCATTTGCAAATAATCGCCAACAGTTTTTTCCTTCTCACCAAGCTTCTTGCTGATAGTCTTGTAGCCTATTCCAGCCTTGTGCAGGTCTACAATCTTGTCCCTAACGTCCTTTGACAGCTCTTTGGTCATGCCCATAGTGATGAGGTTTGAGGAAAGGTTGGAAGAAAGAGATTCTGTGGATAGGTGTCTTTTATATACATAACGAGTTGTTGTTAGGGGCACTGTCCTAAATTGACAGAACTAATCTGTGTACCACATAGCCAGTCTCTTTGAGACAGAATTATTGTTAGTTGGTAGGGGGGATCAAATACTTATGTTTTAAATTGAGTTGCAGTTCAGTGAGTAAAATCTGTATCACGTGTTTTTTTCTGGATTCTTGGTTGCTATTCTGGCTCTATCATTTAGAAAAATGTTTTTTACGGTTTTACAAAATATAGCATTTCAGGGGCCTTTAATAAATACTGAAGGCCCAAATTTAAGCAGGTGTGTAGAAATTGGAAAAACTGGCTTGGCAGCAAAAGGGTTGAAACATGCAACAATGGATATGGGCCCTAAGGGCCACAACGAGAGTGTTACACTGTGTTTTACAGTGAGGTGCTTCAAATCACATTAATTTAATAATTCAAAGGGTTTTGCACACAAACAATTCAGCATTCAGTTCAAGTTCCAAGTGATGATCCCCTCGGTTTGCATTGAGAAGTGAGCCACTGCTTTTAGGAACTGTTTGATCCAGTGATACACTGATAGTTAGGTTTCAAAAAATATACTTAAAGTGATATTAAAATTACACATTGTTAAGCCTTTTTCAAACGCTTAATAAATGACTAACAATGGATGCTGCTCCTTGATGTTTAAAAGTTTAAGTTTACTGCAGAATCAGTACTGATGTACTGTTTTAGGTGGCTCCTTTATCTTGCAAGGCACCTATGGAGCCACCTTTGTGTGTAAGTAAGCTGCAAGTGTCTCCACAAACATACAAGAATGGCAAGACAAGCCACTTCCCAGTTCCCTGCTTCTCCTTCCTCACTTCTATCTTCTCCCTACTCCAAGCTAGTAGTGGACAACTGCTGGAGACTGCGCTGTCCCTCATGATCTTGTTTCCTCTACAGGAAGTTCAGGAAAGCAGAGCAGGGTTAGAGCTGTTTGGAAACATGATGATTGCAAGTGTTTGGGCAAAAATGTAAAGAAATACTTTGTTGGACATTTCTGAAATCATTATTGAAAACAAGTTTGAGAGTTTAATACTACTTTGAGTTTGCAATGTGCACAATGTGTAAAGTTTAACTCCTAATTTCAACCTCCAAGAAAAATATGTAAAATAGTTGCACTGCTTAGTCTTTAGAGAAATTCACTACTCTTCTGACTAAAGATGGAAAATATATGTTTGTAACTTATGGTTGAAGTGTTTTGCAGTAGCATAGGCATTACTCTAGAAAGAGACCTGAAACTAAGCTGATATCTACTGTATATCAGTCGCACACACCACATCCTCCAAGGCCACAAGAGTAGGGCTGCAACAACTAATCGACTAAGCCGATTATAATCGATGATTGAAAAAGTTATCAAAGTTTTCAATCATCGATTAATTGGCTTTCGATTAGTGGGCCCTGTTCATGGCACAACACACGCCGCACATCCTCCCCGCCTCACGCTCGCCTCTGCCAGACCCGCCCGCATCCACACGCCGCACCTCCTCCCCGCCTGCCCACATACACGATCGGCACAGGGACGCGGGGAGAAGAAGCAGCAAGGGGGAGCAGGCGTGGGGAGACGACAGCCGCCGACAGACAGGCCCGATCTCAGAAGCAAGTTGCTGGAAGACTGCTCAGGTAAGCCTGCACTTTCCCACACATGGTGCTCTTTAATGTATTGCTGGGATAGTGGGATTTGTATTCCACTATAGCTGATGGTACATTGTACTGTATATTTTATACAGAGCAATGTACCATCAGCTAAAGAGGACTACAAATCCCAGCAATACATTATACACTGTATGTATGTTTTGCTGGGATTTGTTGTATTCCTATATAGCTGGTGGTATTCTGCATTGTGCTGTATAGATAATAATACATCATACAGCGCAATGCGGAATTCCACCAGCTATAGAGGAGCACAACAAAGCCCAGCAATAGTACATTATACATCGCAATGCAGAATAACACCAGCTATAGGACTACAAAGCCCAGCAATAGTACATTATGCAGTGCAATGCAGAATACCGCCAGCTATAATGTACTATTGCTGCGATTTGTTGTATTCCTCTATAGCTGGTGGTATTCTGCATTGTGCTGTAAAATGTACTATTGCTGGGATTTGTAGTCCACTATAGCCGGTGCCATTCATTGCTGTATAATTTTACTAGGGATGCAGCGATATATCGACCGCCGAAACATATCGGCCGAAAATGGCACTTTTGGCTAAATGGATAAACTTGACTGCTCACCATGGTTCCTGGGCCTCGGCCAGTGTGCCCCTAGTTCCCCGGCATCTCATCTGAATGCTGGGCAGTATGCAGCTCCACTAGAACTCCTCAACTCTTTTCCCTGGGATGGCCTGGCCTGTCAACACGCATGCACACATGAAGCAAGTCCAGGAGTGGTGTGGGTGTGTCTGCCAGTGACAGGGAGGAGAGGATGTAAGCAGCTGCAAACAGCCCAACTAAGCGATAATGAAAATCGTACACAAAGATTTTCATTATTGATTATTATTGACTTTGTCGATTAGTTGGATCAGCTCTGCTCAAAAGTTAGATACCAGCAGCAACTTTTAAAGGAACGTTGGCTACCTGGCTCCTGGACTAAATAAGGAGACTACCTCCACCCTAGTATGATGCCCTACAAAAATACCCTAATATTAGAGAAGAGCAGGCAGAAGCAGTAAGCTAGGTCTTAAAGTTTCCTAGCCCTCTAACTACTCTTAAATACTCTGTGTGCTCTGCTATCTAGAAGGGACAGAAAAAATGGGTTCGCTGAAGTTTTTCTTTTTATTAACTTGTGTGTCTACTATACCTTCCAGATTGGATCAGTAGTCATTCTTTAGGCTATCAAGAGGAGAAAACAGAACTATCAAACACATGCTTTATTTTTTTCGGAACAACAGGATTCTGAATATCATTAACATTATCTATGTTCTTGAATTATAAAACCAGCACATGGGAAAACTGAAGCAGGGACAGGTGCCCTGAAATTTGCATTACATAACAGTCAACTATTCACATTGTGTAACTCCTTTTATTTGTCTTGGGCTAAATTTGTGCAGGTTTCCACAGATTACATGGTATGTTTTTATGCAACAAAATGTAAATATAACTAGCATAATTAGTTTGTTCCTAAACTGATAAAATGAACTCTAGTCAAATGGCACCAGAACCCAACCTCTGTAGAAATGCTGATACCCAACCACCCCTAATATTTGATGCAGAGTGAGAGCACAGACTTTAAAAAGGACAAAGCAGGAGAAGCTTACTGCATCATGACAGCAGATCATTTTTCTGGTTGAGACATATAGGTACAATATGCATGACAAGAAGAATGGCCACATTTACAGGTGAAACTCGAATAATTAGAATATCGTGCAAAGTTCATTTATTTCACTAATGCAACTTAAAAGGTGAAACTAATATATGAGATAGACTCATTACATGCAAAGCAAGATAATTCAAGCCGTGATTTGTCATAATTGTGATGATTATGGCTTACAGCTCATGAAAACCCCAAATCCACAACCTCAAAAAAGTAGATTATTACATGCAATCAATAAAACAAGGATTGTACATAGAACAATATCGGACCTCTGAAAAGTACAAGCATGCATATGTACTCAGTACTTGGTTTGGGCCCCTTTTGCACCACTTACTGCAATTACTTTTGCACAATATTCTAATTATTCGAGTTTCACCTGTATGTCGAATGGAAACCCCATACTCCTGCATGTTAAATAAAGAACACTATCAGCACTTTCCAAAATTCATTGCAAAACAATGTTGCTGCCTTGACTCCCAAGAGCACACCATCACACTGTGCAGGGAAAATATTTGCAGCTTTTATATTTATTTTGATAGGACAAAAACACTTTGGGCCCCTTTCACATGGGCAGTCCGATCGGTTTCGCCTGTCAGTATTTCAGACGGACCCAAAGGGATGCCCACTGCCAGTCTATGGGCAGCCGTGTAGAAATGCAGTTACCACCAGCTCGGGCACAACAGAGATTAAGGGCCCTTTCACACGAGTGTCATCAGTTCAGTCAAGGTTCACGGATACAAAAAAAAACTGATGAAAACTAAATCAGTTTACATCAATTTGCATATCCGTTGTCAGTTCAGTTTACATCCATTTCTTACATGTCCGTATGTGGTAAATTCCCATGATTCTTTGCTTTCCCCCAGAATGCATTGAGCTTGCCATGCTGTAACATGGCATCAGTCCCAAAAAACGAACGTAACCTGAACTGATGTAAACTAATCATCAGGTTACATCAGTCCCGAACAGTCAAAACGGAGAGCTGATCCATCTAAAACTGCGGACCTCAACTGACACTGATGTTTCCTGATGTAAACTGATGGTCATCAGTTTTCATCCGCGCTGATGCGTAGAGATGCATTGTTGTCCATTTTTCATCTGCAAACGGAGGGTTGAAAACCAGACAACCTCAACGCTCATGTGAAAGGAGCCTAAAGGTACCTCGTACGATAATCGCTAGAAATCCCACGATCGTACGATAATCGGCAGGTGTATGGGCAGCGTGCGACCTCTGCTACTGTACGGCCGCACGACTTTCGTTTTCCTAGCACGCTGGAAAACCTGCCGAAAAAAATCATACGATTTTCGGCAGGTCGCTGTCGTGCCTGCTCAGCACTGCTATAATCGGAGGCCCTCCCCTCAGCTCGGCGGGCTTGCGATGATCGCAAGTACGATCTGCCTGTCAAAGATAGGCAGATCGTACGTTTTTTTAATTACCTTACAACCATCGCAAGACAAAAAAGTATTGCGATGGTTGCAAGGTGTATGGCCAGCTTTACAGTGTTTCGTTTCAACAGATCGGATTGTGCCGGATTGGGGGTAATCTGATGTAAACAGACCCATGTACATTGAGGGCTTCCATGTTTGGACCAGAACAGTTTGTTCCCAGACCAAAAAAGCATCCCAGTGTATCCCTATGGTATTTCTGGGCTCTGTTCACACCAACGCAGTCTGTTCCGGTCCAGACAAAAAAAAATAGGGCTCGTCTCATTTTCTGTGGTCCAGAACGCACCAAGACAGGACTGTACCTGAAAGCTCATTTCAAGCTAAAAAAAAAAAATGCAACAGTACATGGCAAAAATGCACTGCGCTTTTGCGATCTGTTATGGAAATAGTGTAAACATAGCCTTACATCACATTCCCCGTAGACACACATGGGGTCCAGCGGTTTCAGCTTTTTCTTCCATTGCAAGATGGAGAAACAAAAAAAAAAATTTAAATTACAGACACGGATGTCACAGGGGTGACATCCAATCCGTACCGCTATGATCAGGAGAGGATCTGTGGTGCCCGGATCCTCTCCTTATCAGCCCATGTGAAAGGGGCCTAAGGAGATGTAGTTCTGGGGAACATGCCATTATCAATAGGAACTATTCTCCCAGCAAGAATTGATGACAAAGGAGGAGGACAAAAGCAGTTTTTCACCACAGAAACTAGTTAAAATAAAAATACAATTCTGGGGAAAAAATAAACCCACTGTTATTCAAAGTCCTAATAATATAAATCATGAAAACCATGCGGGTGGTGTAAAGATTTTTACCGGAACTGTATAAAGGGCAGATGAATAACTGAGTAGCAATGAGAACAAAGCATATTAAGCATGTATACAGTAGCTGAGGGGCATGCACCTTCCCACAACTGATTGGGTCGGGATGAGGGGTTGGCAGTCAGAGTTGTGAGGGGCCTTGGGTGGACTCAGAGGCACTGGGTTAACCCAGCCAACCAAACCCAGCCTCATCACTACATATTACATATGAAGGTTCTGCTCTCTACATAATACAGTAGTTCAACTTTACTGCTCCTTTTCACGATGCAAACGTATGAGTTAGCTGACTCAATTAACCCAATGCTCTCCCTGACAGAGATCTTTTTTCAAACGCAACTCTTTCCAAAGCTAAACAAAAATGTTGGCTGAAATATGAAAGGGTTAGAACCTCTGTCAGAGTGTAATTGCTGTCTGGGTCCCAGTTTGAGAGATTTCCCAGTATGACAGAGCTGGAAGTGAGGGGAAAATGTACCTGCTGTCTATTGGACAGGTAGCTGACAAAACAGCTAGGTTTACACTTTTGTGTGCGCATTTTCATGCATGAGTTTTATATGCACATTGCTGGGTGTTTTTAATGTACTTTCATGCATTAATCGTTTTTGTTTTGGCCCAACGAAAGTCAAATGAAAAAGAGAGTGCTAGGGGCGAGGGTTTCTAGTCTTGCGGTAAAACACATATGGTCACTGTATGCCACTGCAAGTCTATAGGGCAAAAAACATGCACTGATGCATCAAAAAAATATTATTCCCAACGCATGGCAGTGCAGATCACAGGTGTGAATGAGGCACTGCTCTTCACACCAGTGTGCATGCTTTAAATGATGCATTACACATGTGGGCTGGTGTGAATGAACCCTATAGGAAACCTGTTGTGAGAGCAAGGAGGCTGCCATTAGTGATACCTTTCTGAATACTTAAGTTGCTTGGCTGTGTCAGACTTTCAGCGCTCATGACATAAAATGTAATTGGTCTTACATCATTACTCTACACTTTATGCTGCGTTCACATGCTAACATACAGACAGGAAATACGAGTTTCTGAGTTGTGAACACCCTATTGTTTCAAAGCTAAAGATCAGAGAATTCATACACTATACAATATATGATATGATGAGCTCCCATGTCATGATTCTGCACCTAATATTGTTCATCTTCCTTAAGGATCGCTGTATTCTGAAGTGACATCATTGTGGGTTATTATTATGCAATACAAAGTAATACTGACATGCATGTCACCACCATAGTCCGACTATACTCACTCCACAAAAGATCATCTAATAACGGGACACCCAAACTGCCGCCTCCTGGACCCGGCCCCTGGAGCCCAACACACATGTTTTCAACCTCCATTGCCATATCGTCCTGTGTCCGCACCGATCGCAATTTATTTCCGCACTGACTGCTATATACACGTCTACCTTCTCCAACATGAATGACGAGCTACGGGATCCGGGCTAGCTCAAAACGGATAGGAACGCGCATGTCCACTAGCAGGCGCAGCGCCTCACATGTGATGAAATGTGTTCAGCTCTAAGCAAATAGTGAAAAGGCTCCAGAAATGCTGAACTCTGCGACAGGTGGAAACTCCACTTCTTATGAATTTAGTATACTGGTGTGGGCTGGGTGGGGGGCCTTCTAAAAGGAATGACAGAATGGAATGCCCATAGACTTTGACAGGGGAAGAGAATGCCCATAGACTATAATGAAGCCAAACGGAATGCCCATAGATTATAATGGGAAGCAAAGTATCAGATAATTTGTAGGCAAATCTGAAAAAGATATCAATTTATCCTTTACCACAGATCTTCCCCATGTATAGTAACATCTTTTACAATTGAAATAACTTTGGATTTTTCCTGTTTTCTATGGCATGACAGGTGAATAGCACAATGGAATGCCCATAGAGTATAATGGGAAGAAAGATGGGCCTTGGAGTCTGAGCCATATGACACATCAAATAAATCTTTAGCAGGCATACTCTCCAAACTCCTTTTAGTAGGCCCCCTGGGTGGCTCACGTTATACTAGGCATTCTATCTCCTAGTTTTTACTATTATAGAATAAAAGAGCCTTTTCCTTGAGTGGATGTAAAGTTCACAATGCAAAGCTGAATTCCAGTGATAACTTTTTATTCATACTTACATTGATGCTGCTTATCCCAATGTTAATTCGGCCATACACTGTCTTATTTTTTAATTCAACCCAAGGGCTGAATGAAAAAAAAAAAAACAGATTCCTCCATCTACGCTTACGAGCGTTGATTGAGAATCCCTGCTGGCCACTGTCAGAATACCCAGTCGGCAGCTCATTGGGTGCTCGCTCTGTTTGTTCAAAGAATTTTCAACCGGCTCCTAATCAGCTAATTGAAGGATGCCTGCCGACAGCAGCACCCACTATGCAAATTTTATCTGGTTCCTGAAGATCCAGCCAAAATTTGCATTATGTATGGCCAGCTTCAGTATGCATATGATATGGTCGGCCAGTGGGATCCCTGTAATGCAGTACTAGTCGCCACTACTATAGTGCTGGCTGCAATCTTCCAGGTCCTATATGGCACTGTGCAGAGCAGCTTCCCCTCTGCTCTGAAAACACAGGGGGATGCTTGCTCAGCCAGGTGGCTAATTAGAGAACGCCTAGTATTTTTATCAATGGATACAAGGTGTTCTCTGATTGGATCAAATCGATAATACGAAATCATCTGCACTCCATACAGCGTACAGACCTTGGATGAAAGGTTGGTGCTTGAAGTGACAACACGGATGGCGCCGTGTCAGATACAGTCCATAATAGAAGTCACCAGCACTTCTGTGCAAGAAGTAAAGCACTTTTTATTAAATTGTCACATGCGTCAAACAGCCAACATTTTGGGGCCACGCAGGGTCCCTTTTTCTGGGTGACATAGTGAAGGGACCCTGCGTGGCCCCGAAACGTTGGCTGTATGACGCATGTGATGATTTAATAAAAAGTGCTTTACTTCTTGCACACATCATCGAGTGCTGGTGACTTCTATTATGCTCTGATTGGATGAGGGGCGGTCAGGGTCACATCTCCCACAAGGCCAACCGAGGCCCGGCCTCGAGGCGGCAGGGAGCAGGGGGGCACCAGGGATTCCTATCACCCGACGCTCAGGACATGATGTTCCGGGTGCCAGGCGGGTAGTGGTTTTCTACATTTAGCCCTGCTTTGGGCAAGCAGAGCTAAATGTAAAGCACAGCTTGCTCGTCCGTCCTCCCCGCCGGCTACCTCTCTCCCCGCTGGCTGGAGATCCTCTTTTCAGAATAGAGAGTGGGGAGCAAGGTGAAGAACGTCCGTTCTCCGCTCTGCTCCGTGCACTTGCAGCCTTCCCTTCTCAGCTGTCACAGGAGTTCAAGCACAGTGGTGTGCTAGAACTCCTGTATTATTATTATAGAGGATTTATATAGCGTCAACAGTTTGCACAGCGCTTTACAATATAAGGAAGACATTACAATTACATTATTTTAAAAAATTATAAAATAAATACAAATTAAGAAAACAAATTTCAAAAATAATAATTAAAATAAAAAGATGATAAAAAAAGTAAAACAAAAGATAAAAAATTATTTTTTTGAGTTTAAAATAATAAGATAATTAAAAAAAGGAAAAGAAGAATTTAAAAAAAAAGGAAAAAAAACTAACCCTGCCATTCTTAAAATAATTTATCTGGCCGTAAACTGGGGGTTGATGGGAAGGAGGCGCATAGAGGAACATGGCCTTGGGGCCCAATTGATCTAAGCCACTGCCATGGCCCTGTCTGACTGAATCCTCATTGGTTGTCCTTGAAGCCGGCTAGTTCACTTTTGGAGGCATAAGCGGATTGCACTCAGCTCCAGGATGTTGATAGGAAGCCTAGATTCCCTCGCAAACCATGGCCCTTGGACTGTTTCTGCCCCAAGAACCCCTCCCCAGTCCAACAGACTGGCATGCATTATAAGAAATGTCCAGGTTAGAGTGAGAACCAATTTTCCCACATTCCGTGCAGGGCTGCTTAGCTACCAGGCCAAAGAGATCTTAGTCTCCGTAGACATACATATGGTTCGATCCAAAGACTGGGGCAAGCCAGAATGTTGAGCTGAAGGGCCCTGGAGTGTAACTTTTTTTGTTTTTTTTGGAGCTGAGTTTTTTTCAAACTTGAGAGGGGTTAAATCCTTTTCCAAAGGAAGAAACACCAGACCCGAGCTGTGTCCAAGACTAGGACCAGGTACTTCAAGTGATGGTTTGGACCCAACACAGACTTCTGCAGATTGAGGATCAACCTGAATTTCTGAAGTGCCTGAGCATTGACAGAGAGGTCTGGGTGGAGCGCTCCTTCAGAAGAATATTATCCAGATAACCCACATTGTGGATTCCATAGGAGCTCAGCTGAGCAAGAAATGGGACCAGTACCTTTGTAAGGACAGAGGGGCAACGGTCAAAGAGAAGAGCCATAAACTGGATGTGCTGAACCCTTACAGCAGAACGTAACTCTGAGGAGGAAAGAAGTTAGGAACATGTAGGTACGCATGTCTGTCACTGCCAGGCACTCTCCTTGCTGCAGTGATTCAATGACAAAATGGGCCGATTCCATACAGAATTTTTGGACCCGCAGGAAGGTGTTAAAGAACCATCAGGTCAGCACCATTGGGTTTGGGAACCATGAACAAGTTGGAGTAAAACCCCTGAAATCGTTCCTCCCTGGGAACTGAGACATTCACTTGCCGAGGAGTGCAGAAGCTGCAAGGCAGTCTGACGATCCTTTAGCCTCTGCAGAGACGATGGTAGGTTTGAAATCATGAAGGGAGGTAAGAACTGAAATTCCAGTCTGTATCCCCGGGACACTAGATCTGGGATCCAAAGGTCTGCAATGTCCCAAAACCATGTTGCCGAAAAAGGCAGTCAGACATCTTTCCACTTAAAGAAGTAGGTATGCCCTCTCATTGAGGGGTTGGGTTTGGTGCTGGGTTTACCAGACTTAGGCATCCAGTATTTTTGACAGTACTGTATGGAGGGCTTTGACTTGGAAGTAGAAGCCTGAGGAATGGAAGGAACTTTGCAAAGACCCTTGAGTGGTCATCTTGTTTGCCGGGATCTTTGTGTTTTTATTACTAAGAGCGTACTCTTCTCACCAGCGACGTCCTTGATAAAGGTGTCTAAAGACTGACTATAGAGTCTTTCCCCATCAAATAAGGTGTGTATCAGATCTTTCTTGCAGACCATCTCAGCAGACCTGCATCATAGACTCATCTGATGACCCGAGAACCTTGGTGCAAGGAATCTGTCAAGCCATCTACGCAATAGCGTAAGGCAACTGTAAGGAGCTCCAGCGTCTGAAGAACTGATAGATCCATGGGGATCAACCCCGGATATCGCAATATGCATTTGGACCAAACTATCAGTTGCATGGCCACACTAGCCAACATAAATTAACCCTAATCCTTTTACTGCAGGACAAGAGAATGGTGCATTTATTTTTACAGGGTGTTTCACTAGACCACCAGGAAATATAAGGAAGACTTTCCATCCAGCCAGTCACCACCATGATGAGGAGAGTGTGGGGGTGGTTATTGTTCCAAGCAGCTACTGGCCACCAACGCTGAGGGGGAGTTATTTTTGACCAGCAATTGGATGGGGGGAGTCATTTTACAGCAAGCCACTGACCACCAATGCTAGTGGGAAGGGGGTTATTTTACAGGAAGCCACCAATACTTCTGGCCAATGTGTTTATTGTGTCAACATTTGCTAGTTGCTAAGTAGTCACTAACTATTTTATCAAGGCCTAAAAGCATACGTAATAGAAGTTTCATTTCTTTGAAATGATTGTGTGGCGTCTTGTATGTGTCTGTTAGAATCAGGTTTTATTTAACCATGACCATTTAAGACCCTCCCACTGTTAGCACACCCACCATTCAGGAAAAGGAAGAGGAAAAGGTTGCATAAGCAGCACTATATAATGAAGTGGTTGCTCTGCACCCATAAAGAAGAGGAGGAAAAAAGGCACATGAGCAGTACTAGAAAGGCTGGAGACAGGAAGGGGTTTAGGTCTAGGATTTCCTTTTGGTATAGGTAGTACTCAGTTTGCATTGCCATTCCAGCCTGTGTTTGCTTCATCAGGGAAGGATGGTCTTACAAGGAAAAACAATAAAAAAGTTAAAGACATAAAATAAAATAAAATTTGTAAATAATAAAATGTGAAAAAACACAAATTGGGCCTAGCCTTGCTATTAAATTTGTTCTGCTAGTGGCCAGTTTTACACTGCCGGTATCATCTCATCATTCTCTTCTTTTGACAAGAATAGCAGAAAAGGAGAAGACAGAAAATGGTGCATTATGCAAGTGTTGCTCCCGCCGAGCTACTTGGTGAAGGTTTATGCGTTTCTTCATGCATGTGGTGCCCAAATGGCTGATACCTTTGCCATGGCTGATATGCTGCAGAGGCATCAGACCACAGCGCTGCTGTCTGCAGCAGATGTGGTAAAAAAGTC